TTCTAAAGGGAGCTACACTAAACCACTAGCCGATCTCTAATGCTGCGTCACGTTTCTTCTACCAGTATTGACTACAAGGACTTCAGGGGCTACGAGAACAAGCGAGTAATCGTCATCGGGATCGGCAACTCCGGTGGAGACATCGCCGTGGAACTCAGTCAGCACACTAGTCAGGTATGACACTGAAGCTTTCCATGCTGTTAACCACAAAAGACCATAATGAAGCGTTATTAAACATGTAGCTTGCACTTTTAGCAGCATATTTTACAATTCTTCAAACAAATTAACAGATTGTGTACTAAATCAAGACTTTTCGTTCCTAAAGTAACTAAAATCCCCATGTATATCTGTACAATTTTGTGTCAATGATCTGGTTTGATACTAAACGTACAGCTATCGAAATTTGGCACTTGAATTGTGATGCGTTTTCTCCTTTAACAGCTTTTCTTAAGTACCAGAAGGGGAGGTTGGATCGTTCATCGGAATTCGTCTCGTGGCCTTCCTACCGACATCTGGGCCAACCGTCGTTGGGCCGACGCTCTGCCTCTATGGGTCAAAGAAAGGGTTGCACAGCGTATCCTGAACCGGCGCTTTGACTACACCGAGTACGGTCTCAAACCTAAGCATACCGTCTTTGGCCAATTCCCCACCGTTAACGACGACTTGCCAAACCGCATCGTCACAGGCTCCATCATCGTCAAGCCCAACATCAAGCGCTTCACCAAGACCGGCGTCATCTTTGAGAACGACACGGTCGAAGACGACATCGACGCCGTCATCTTTGCAACAGGTTACCGCTTCGACTTCCCCTTCATCGGTGATTCTGTCATGAAAGTGGAGAACAACCACGTAAATCTCTACAAGTACGTCTTCCCTCCCAATCTGGAACCCCCCACTCTCAGCCTCATCGGTCTTATCCAGCCTGTTGGCGCCATCATGCCGATCTCAGAAATACAGTGCCGCTGGGCCACCAGGGTCTACAAGGGGACCACCAAGCTCCCACCACAAGAGGTGATGCTTGCGGACATCAAGAAGAAGAAGCTCAGCATCTCCAAACGGTACTACCAGTGTTCACGTCATACCATCCAGGTTGAGTTCATCACGGCGTTGGACGACGTCGCCGTAGAGATCGGAGTCAAGCCAACCTTCGCTCGTCTCTTCTTGTCCGACCCGCGTTTTGCCCTGCAGTGCTACTTCGGGCCGTGCACGCCGTACCAGTACCGCCTAGTGGGGCCTGGGGCTTGGAAGGGCGCTAAGGAGGCGATCCAGACGCAGTGGGACCGGATCACGTTTCCGATCAAGGTACGCGCCACTCCTGACGACGACAAAGCAGGAATCCCGGGAATTCTCAAGGCTCTCGTGGTGCTGGTGGTGATCCTGGCCCTCATCTGGAACCTCTTGTAAAATGTCTGAAATAATCCACGATCAAGTCAGTTCTCTACTAAGACTCGTGCCACCCCATATAAAGGTGACACAAGGATGTTGGTGGCTTTTAAGGTTCTGAGGATTCTGGTATCTATCGTGAACGCCTTTCCTTGTTTTAACTCTTTTCAACTTTTTAAAATTCCAATGGCCTGTATTAAGAACGTAGGTTTTTTTTCTTATTGTTACTAAGTAGCAAACTGTTTTTTAGCCTTTGATATGTGTTCTTGATCTCTCAAGCTTCCAAATGGCCATCTTCTACATGTAACTCCTGCCTTCACTTGCTTGACTCGGTAAATGGGTTCACTATATAGATAGCAAGTTATAACTTCCAAAAGAAGAAGGTAGCGTTTCTAGCACGATTGCTAGGATGTAGAGAAACAGCCTTATGACTCTGGCATCCTTCGAATCTTACCCTTACGCTTTAGTGCAACGAATGAATGAATGACTATTTTATCATTGTGTAACACAATATGGTTCGCCCAGAAAATGCTTCTATGCAATCAATGTTTACATCTTAATACAACTAAGTTAAACCTATATAAGCCAGAGTAATTAACTAATACAACTAATTTAAACCAAGATAAGTCAGAGTAATTAACTAGGAGGGAAGTTAATTGTTAACTTTCAGCTATGCCCGTCACTGTTTTACTAATAAAAATAAACTGCTTTGTTGTTCAGAAACGTCTTTTCAGACTCAAACAGATTTACTCAACAGCAAAATCGCGTTTTTTGCTTCATATTTCGCGCCATGTAGCAGAGATGTGCCAAAGTCCGTGACCTTGGACCTTAACCACTGACCAGTTAACTAATCAGCTGACAGGGGTCTTTGTTATTAGCTGTTTTTCTTCTGCGTGATCAATTGAGGCCATTCAACGTTAAACACCAGTAGAGTTTAAAGTGTTAGAAATGGCGAAGAAAGTGGCGGTGATCGGCGCGGGTGCGAGCGGGTTGACGGCCATCAAGTGCTGCCTGGACGAGGGGCTGCAGCCCGTCTGCTTTGAGAAGGGAACCGACATCGGCGGACTCTGGAACTTCAAGGAAGAAGCCCTGCCCGGCTTTGCCAGCGTCTACCGCTCCACGGTCATCAACACCAGTAAGGAGATGATGTGTTACAGCGACTTCCCCATCCCCAAGGAGTACCCTAACTTCATGCCCCACTCCATGATCGTCAAGTACTTCAAGATGTACGCAGACAACTTTGACGTAATGAAACACATCAGGTGAGGTCTTATTTTACTGAATTTGACAAAAGAAAAACAATCACAACTGTAAGCAACCTTTCCTAGTGACTGCTCCCGATATAAACTTAATATACGAGCTTCTGTGCTCTGAACATTGCATGTTTGTATGATATCTCTAGCTTGGTGAATCATGTGGCAGTCTGATAGTAGGTCAAATGGTCTTGACCAGAGACGGGGGGCAATGTTCACATGATCGGTCTACCTGAACTGCGCTCTTGTGCAAATATGGTCGCTGAGGTGCGAATAGGAATGCACCTATTGCGGCCTTCATTTTACCACGCCCCCATATGTACACTCTGATAGGAAGGTCAAAAAGGGACGGAATTATCCATTTGTATATAACCTGTTGCTGTTTGGATATCAGCGAAGAAGATAAGTCTAAGCACTAGCTATAGCTGAGGACAAAAAAATTCTTAAAATGATAGATAAGCCAACATGGCGACAGGCTAGGGCCGTGTGTTTGATCAAGAATCTGTGCCAATATACCCATGAAATATATATTTATGATCAAACCCCAAATATTGACGACTCTTAACAATACATTTTCCTCTTCTGCAACTTTGTTTACACCCTCTAGACTATTCATTAGTAGTGGTTGTCGAACAGAATTAGCAACTGAAAGATACAGGCACAGTCAATATCTCAATGTAGTCGTTGATATATATTATTTGCCAGATTCCGGCACCGTGTTGACCATGTAAAACCGAGGGAGGACTTTGCAGAGACCGGGCAGTGGGACATCACCTACACTGATGAGGTACGTTCTGTACTGTAATCCATTAACGTTACACACGCGTCTTTATCGTCAGGAAATCTTGATCTCCTACATGCATAAATGCAAGAAAATGTCAAGTTATACCTTAAATCTCCATGGAATTGTGTTAAGACGTTTTACAAAGCTTGAGCAAACATGCTAGATGGTATGAAATAATCAGCAACTTCGTCCTTTAGGAGAAGAATGAGAGCAAGACTGAAGTGTACGATGCAGTGATGGTGTGTACAGGCCACCATGCGTACCCACATTACCCCAGGAACAGCTTCCCAGGGATTGACGACTTCCAGGGGAAGACTACTCACAGGTACGTACCAAAGGTGAATCTATGATTCCTACTCTAACCTATAAACCAAAGGTAAAAAGGTAACAAAAATCAATTGATGTTCTTATTTGCCCTTTGAAATGTGCAAAATCAACGTTCGAACTTCCATCTGAACTGTCAGATGACCGTTGAATTTTGCAATCAATCAATCAATCAATCAATCAATTAATCAATCAATCAATCAATCAATGAATCAATCAATCAATCAGTCCAGTTATAGTCTTGTTTCAATGCTTTCGTCACAAGTCACGACTACAAGGACTTCAGGGGCTACGAGAACAAGCGAGTAATCGTCATCGGGATCGGCAACTCCGGCGGAGACGTCGCCGTGGAACTCAGCCGACACACCAAGCAGGTAGTGCCATTTCCATTATTAAATAACAAAACATTGTAATGAGATGATATAGTATAGGAAAGTGTCTAAAATGCCAATCTAGTATAGAGATACTCGATGTAAGAGCGAAGTTTTTCCAAAGGACCCAAAAAGAAGTTTGTTAGCTTTTCAAATATGTTTCCTAGTGTTATCGATTTGCAAATAAGTATGGCCCATTTTTGGTCTCAGCTTTTCCTCAGCACCAGAAGGGGCAGCTGGGTGGCGAACCGGGTCTCGTCTCGAGGCCTTCCCATCGACATCTGGGCCACTCGCCGCTGGGCCGACGCCCTGCCATCCTGGTTCAAAGAATGGTTCGCGCAACGGAGGCTCAACCATCGGTTTGATCACTCCGTGTACGGTCTCAAGCCGAAGCATCCGGTCTTTGGGCAGCACCCAACCGTTAACGACGACCTGCCCAACCGCCTGATCACGGGCGCCATAATCGTCAAGCCCAACATCAAGCGCTTCACCAAGACCGGCGTCGTCTTCGAGGACGACACGGTCGAAGACAACATCGACGCCGTCGTCTTTTGCACTGGGTATCGCTTCGACTTCGCCTTCGTCGAGGATTCTGTCATGAAGGCGGACAACAACCAAGTCACCCTCTACAAGTACGTCTTCCCTCCCAAGCTGAACCCTCCCACTCTCAGCGTCATCGGTCTTATCCAACCTCTGGGCGCCATCATGCCGATCTCAGAAATACAGTGCCGCTGGGCCACCAGGGTCTTCAAGGGGACCACCAAGCTCCCACCGCAAGGCGCAATGTTCGACGACATCAGGCAGAAGAAAATCGACATCTCCAAACGGTACTACCAGTCTCCCCGGCAGACCGTCCAGGTCGACTACATCACTATCATGGACGACCTGGCGAAGGAGATCGGAGTCAAGCCTGACTTCAAGGGTCTTTTCCTCTCCGACCCTCTCCTCGCGCTCGAGGTCTACTTCGGGCCGTGCACGCCTTACCAGTACCGCCTGGTGGGACCTGGGGCTTGGAAGGGCGCCAAGGAGGCGATCCAGACGCAGATGTACCGGGTCAAGTACCCAACCAAGACACGCGCCACTCCTGACGAAAAGGATGAGGGTATCTCAGGAATTCTCAAACTTCTCGTGGTGCTGGTGGTGATCCTGGCCCTCATCTGGAACGTTCTGCTGTAAACCATCTGGAATGATCCGCGATATTCTATGACCGTTTCAGTAGATCCATGTTAGAACTCTTTCCAGTCTTTGTGAACTGTAACCAACAAATTGTGGTTTTAGATGCATGTACTAGCAAATATAATGTCAGTTCTTTATCCATGTTTGTTACCTAATCTTTTACCTAAAGGTATGTTCACACCCTCAAAACCCGGGACAACAATGTCAATTCGCAGTCAGGTTAAACATAATAATCATATCTAAAGATATCCTCTAAAAGATGTACACACTTCCAAACCTTTCACGATCAAGTGCAAATACATACAGTGAAGTGAACAGCACTTAGTAAATTCATTGGGACCCAAGAACAAGTCTTAATGTGACTGGCGAAAGCCTTCACATTTCGATTCACTAATTAGAGAGAGAGAGAGAGAGAGAGAGAGAGAGAGAGAGACTGTTCAATTGCACTTATTTTAGGCTAAAAACCTTTTTTGCAAATATATTTTATCCTAAGATTATCCTAGCAATCAAACAACAATGAATTAGATTCTTTGCTTCTTGTGTGTTTACCGTGTGTTTCTTTTCGTATTTCGCGCTATGCAGCAGGGGTGTGTCAGAGTTTGTTGTCTTTGACCTTGGACCCTACCCAATGGCGATGCTAGCTAATCAGGTGACACGTCGCTAATCGTAAGCCGTCTCTCCGAAGGGCGAGCAAACGTCTAGACGTCTGGGTCGCATTCAAACCATAAACAACGCCCAAAAGTCGATTTAAGACTGCTAGAAATGGCGAAGAAAGTGGCGGTGATCGGCGGAGGCTCCAGCGGGCTGACGGCCATCAAGTGCTGCCTGGACGAGGGGCTGCAGCCCGTCTGCTTCGAGAAGGGAACCGACATCGGCGGACTCTGGAACTTCAAGGAGGAAGCCCTGCCCGGCTTTGCCAGCGTCTACCGCTCCACGGTCATCAACACCAGTAAGGAGATGATGTGTTACAGCGACTTCCCCATCCCCAAGGAGTATCCTAACTACATGCCCCATTCCTACATCATCAAGTACTTCAAGATGTACGCAGACAACTTTGACGTAATGAAACACATCAGGTGAGGTCATATTTTGCTGATTTGGCAAAGAAAAAACAATCTCTCCCATTGACAGCCTAAACACCCTGGCCATAATGTGCTATTAACTAGCATTCTGGTGCGAGCTTCAGTCCTCTTGTGAGAGCTATTGTGACCTTGTATCTCCTCATTCTGCTTCTGTTTTAGCCATAACAACATCTGGTAAGTTTAGAGACTCTTGTAATGTACATATTGCGTCGCCATCCCATATGCCTCAGTAAAATACGTGCATTAGTTGAATAATTAGTCCAGTGAGGATGACAATGGCCTT